ATGCAAAACTTGAGGGGATTGAGGGCCCTGCTCTTTCGAGCTTACAATCTAGGAGGGAGGGGATAGTGGTACAGGAGGAGGTAGCTGTGGGGGATGGAGTGGTAGGAAGAGTGGAGGAGGTCGGCAGGTTAGCAGGGGGTGGGGTAGGCTTCCCTGAAGAGATGGGTTTTCAGGGTGCGCCTAAAGGAGAGGAGAGTAGGTGATAATCTGATGGGTTGGGGCAGGGAGTTCCAGAGGATGGGTGACACCCTGGAGAAGTCCTGGAGGCGGGCATGGGAGGAGGAGACCAGGGAATAGAATAGAATAAAATAGAATCGAACAGAACAGAATAGAATATAAAAGAATAGAATAGAAAAAAAAAAATAATAATAAAAAAACAGAATAAAACAGAGTAGAAATTAATAGACTATAATAGATTAGAATAGAATGGAATACAATTTAATAGAATACAAATAAATAGGATAGAATAAAACAGAATAGAATAGAAAATAAAAGAATAGATTAAAACTAAATAGAATAGAACATAAAATAAAGGACTAGAACAGAATAGAATAAAATAAAGCAGAATAGAATCCAAATATTAGAATAGAAAACACATAAAATAGAACAGAAAAGAAAAGAATAGAACAGAAAAGAAAAGAATAGCATAAAAATTAAAAGACTAAATAGAAAAGAATAGAAAAAAAAAGAATAGGTTAGAATAGAATAGACTACAATAGAAAACATATAGCCATCTTCCGAAAATTAAAATTTCAAAATTCAAATTTTGAGATATCAGTTTTGAAATTCAAATTTCAAATTGATTTGAAAATAACGAATATACTAAATGAATCTTTAATATACAAAACTTATTCTGAAAACAAATCAATCTAACATAGCGAACATGATGAAAATATTAACTTAAATAATGGCCTTGACCTAGAATAGGCCACCACTCTTCAGCAAGGTTATCTGCCCATTTGATTTGTTTAGATTGAGTTTTAAACTGCATGAGGAAGATGAAAAGAGGAACTTGGGCTCAATTTTCATATAATATTACTATAATCTTGCTTAACAATCAGCCCATGGAACTGCTTGGGTCTACAACTGCTCTTATCACAGGTTTTTATATTTAAAAAAAAATGTTTAACTTGTTAAAAAGAGAAAAAAAAACCTGTCCTGGATATACCAGCAAACCATGCCATGTGAGGACTGGTAGGGGTGTGAGGTTCCTCCTAGGTTGGTATCATCTCACATTCCCATCAGCATCAGATGAGTACGCGGAGAGGTAGGGACCCATAAGCAGCAATGTGCGTCTTCCCAATTCCACCAACCTGGTACTTTTTTCGATGGACAAGAAGTGTATAGAAAAGTATGATTTTCTTCAAAATGAAGTTACATTGTGTTTCAGGAACTCGTCTGTACCGGATCAGTGCTGTATAAAGCTCAGCGCTGACGGCACAAATTCATTTTAATCTCAGAAAACCCAAATTCTGAACATTATAGTAATTATGGCTTATCCTCGTGTGCAATTTTGCCTTTTCAGATTTTTCTGTCAATCAAGTATTATATCCTGATGTGCTTTGGAGCGATAGCTAACAAGCAGGGCTACTATTTTATGGATTATTTGTGAAACTGGATCACTAGCAAAAAAGTTGAAAAGTGTTTAGGGCTGACCATAGATGGGAAGATATACTTTGGAGAACTACAGGTTGGGGAGATATCTGTCTGTACTTTACTTTAAGAAGGAATCTCCTGTATTTTTCTGTAGCACCCTCCTCTAGTTAGGTTGTTAGGCTAAGTTTAGCTTTTGGCTTTGCAGTAGTCAGTGGAGCAATGATCTACAGCTTCTGTCTGGTCAGGGCTTCCTAGTCTGGGTGTTTGATATCTCCTGCCTACTTCTGGGAGAAGCTTCAAGAATATAGTGCAGGAAGGATCAAATATTCAGTTATCAATGTGTATCATGCCTCACCCAAGAAAGATTGTGTCCGACAGGTGGTTGGGGAAGTGATAAATATTTACGAGGACTTGCTAGTGTTCTTCTGCTAGGAGAGATCCTGTTCTCCTGGGTTTGGTGCTCCTAGGAGGCAGCTAAAGTGTGCTGAAGAATTGCAGTTGGGCCTCAGCAGGTGCTGGGCTAAAGGTCTGCAGAAGATCACTGAAAGGTTTTTGCTGCTGGAGGGCACTGTTCTAAAGTCCTAGTCTGGAAGCTGGATGGTAGTCAGCTCCTGGGACGTTGTGAGCAAGACCTACTGTGGGACTTTCATGTGTGTCTGCAGCTGTACAGATTTGTGGGAGAAGTTTGTTCTTCTATTGATCATATTGGAGTATCCCGAACCACCAAATTCCCCAATTCTGTTTCAAGGTATTCAGCTATAAAATAAAAAAGACATCCCTAGACTGAGCTGGTATTGTCTGTGTGCATGGAACTGTATGAAGTAAGAAGGGCTACATGCTAGAGATGTGCATGATGAAAAGATGTGTTTTGTTTCATTTTACATTTGTTTGTTAGGTTAATAATTTTTTTTTGTCATATTCATTTTGTTGGAATAATTCATTTTCGGAATTCATTAACTGTATTAGTTATTTTCATATTGAATTTCAGAAGACTGCTATATTCATTCTATTTTATTCTATTCTATTCTACTTTTTTATTCTATTCTATTCTTTTTATTCTGGTCTATTCTTTTCTATTCTGTTTTAACCTATTTTATTCTTTTCTATTCTATTTTATTCTATTATATTCTTTTCTATTCTAATCCCTTCTCTTCTATGCTGTACTATTTTACACTATTCTACTTCATTCTTTTATTCTTTTATTTTCTATTCTATTCTTTCTATTCTAGACTATTCTTTTCTATTATATTTTAATCTATTCTTTTCTATTCTATTCTATTTTATTCTATTACTTTCTTTTCATTATATTCCCTTTATTATATTCTGTTCTGTTCTATTATTTTAGATTCAATTATAGTCTGTTCTATTCTATTATGTTCTGTTATTTTCCATTCTATTCTGTTTTACTCTATTTTATTCTTCAATATTCTAATCTGTTTTATTCTATTCTATCTAATTATAATTATTATACAGGATTTATATAGCGCCAACAGTTTGCTCAGCGCTGTACATAATAATGGGAGACAGTACAGTAACAATACAATACAATACACGAGGGGTTTAAGGGTCCTGCTCCTTGGAGCTTACAATCTAGGAGGGAGGGGATACTGGTACAGGAGGAAATAGCTGTGGGGGATGGAGTGGTAGGAAGAGTGGAGGAGTTTAGTAATTAACTGAGGGCGGGGTAGGCTGAAGAGACAGGTTTTCAGAGTGCGCCTAAAGGTGAGGAGAGTAGGTGATAGTCTGATGGATTGGGGTAGGGAGTTCCAGAGGATGGGGGAAGCCCTGGAGAAGTCCTGGAGACGGGCATGGGAGGAGGAGAACTAAAGAGTAGGAGGTCTTGTGAGGAGCGGAGAGTACGTTTTGGGTGGTATTTGGATACCAGAACTATTTCGAATAATTTTTTTCATTATAATTTATTTCAGTTTCTTTGAAATTCATTACTATTGTCATTCTGAAATTTGGATACATCCGTATCTCCGAATAATTAAAATTCTTTATTTTGATTCCTAAAGAAACTAACCGCACATGTCAACTACTGTACATACCGCCGAGGCTGTGTATACATCTAAATGGTTCCCGAAGGAATAGCACAATCACCTACAACAAGAAAGACAGAGAAATGTGTAGCTATAGAATTGCCATACAGATCCATGAAGTCGTATTTGTGCCCTGCAGTGCAGTATACTTTGAATAAAGCAGAGTGCACAAATTGCCCTGCATTAATGAGGGTTTTATGACCCATAGAAATTAATAGTAATGCGGGCATAGTAGATTTTACTGTGTTTAGCACATTACAGCATTTGCAGAGATCATTTTATTTACATGCAAAAGGCATGTAGTCAAACCCAGAAAAATGCATATGATGGCTAAAAAATTGAGCCAATGCACACGAGACCTAAGACATGTAACAAGAGATGGTCATAGACTGCACATTCTTATAGGTATTGTTGGATGCTGACGACATGCTTCAGGAGACAGTTATAATCTGGAGACATGTTACCTGGGACTGCTTGAAATCACTGCTAATAGCTTACAAGCCAAAGCTTCCACATTTGTTCCCTTTACTTTTTGCAAGATTTATTATTTATCCCATCAAGATCCATTATAAATCAAAGGGAAAAAAAAAGAGAAAAGGCTTGGGCAGAACTGAAAAAAGTAAGATAGTGTGAAAGAAATAAATCAAGCCATTAAAGTCGTATTAAACCAAAAACAAAAAAAGCTTGTATATGTCCTGCAGGACACGAGAGCTATTAGTAGAGTGAGGAAGTTCTTCAGCAGCTGACCTCATTAAAACACACCCTGCTCCTATCCTCCTCCTCCAGGAGATTGCTCCCACCCACCACTTCAGGTGGAACTTCACTCTCTGAATCGACATTGATTCATTTTAATCCATATGCTGCCAGCATTAGTGAATAGATATGAAAGTACTGTATTTTTATCTTTATAAGACGCACCTTTTTCCCCAAAACAATATGGGGGAAAATGTCTGTGCGTCTTATGGAGCGAATATTGAGCGGCCGGCCTGGTATTCTTGCCGCCACCGTGTTAGAATACCGGACCGGCTGCTTGGCTCTTCTGTGCAGCAGAACCTGCTCCTCAGTCTTACCTGTTCCTTGGTCCAGCGGTGTCCTCATCACCTCATCATCTTTAGTGTGGGCACCCAGCTGGGACAGCTGTGTATTGTGTCTGCAGTCTCTATCTCCTGTACTATGTCCGCAGTCTCTGGTCATCTCCTGTACTATGTCTGCATTCTCTGGTCATCTCCTGTACTATGTCCGCAGTCTCTGGTCATCTCCTGTACTGTGTCCGCAGTCTCTGGTCATCTCCTGTAGTATGTCCGCAGTCTCTGGTCATCTCCTGTACTGTGTCCGCAGTCTCTGGTCATCTCCTGTACTATGTCTGCATTCTCTGGTCATCTCCTGTACTGTGTCCGCAGTCTCTGGTCATCTCCTGTACTATGTCCGCAGTCTCTGGTCATCTCCTGTACTATGTCTGCAGTCTCTGGTCATGTGTACTATGTCCGCAGTCTCTGGTCATCTCCTGTACTGTGTCCGCAGTCTCTGGTCATCTCCTGTACTGTGTCCGCAGTCTCTGGTCATCTCCTGTACTATGTCTGCAGTCTCTGGTCATCTCCTGTACTATGTCCGCAGTCTCTGGTCATCTCCTGTACTATGTCCGAAGTTTCTGGTCATCCCTGTACTGTGTCCGCTTTCTCTGGTCATCTCCTGTACTGTGTCTGCAGTCTCTGGTGATCTCCTGTACTATGTCCGCAGTCTCTGGTCATCTCCTGTAGTATGCCACAGTCTCTGGTCATCTCCTGTAGTACATCTGCAGTCTCTGGTCATCTCCTGTACTGTGTCCGCAGTCTCTGGTCATCTCCTGTAGTATGTTCCGAGTCTCTGGTCATCTCGTGTAGTATATCCGCAGACTCTGGTCATCTCCTGTACTATGTCCGCAGTCTCTTGTCATCTCCTCTAGTACATCCACAGTCTCTGGTCATTTCCTGTACTATGTTTGCAGTCCATTGGTTCAGAATATTTTTTTACTTGTTTTCCTCCTTTAAAACCTTGGTGTGTCTTATGGTCAGGTACATCTTATAGAGCGAAAAAAAAATGGTATATCATATTTACTTGTGTAACACCCTCTTAGTTAGCTAGAGAGAGCTCCAGCTTCATTTGTTAGACAGGCTGAGCATCAGCCCAGGTGCAACAGTCAGAGAGAGGTTAAATTTGGGTCAGAGCTGAGAGGCTCTGCAGACCAGCCCCTCTGGAATTTACCCCTGCTCTAGAACTTTGGGGAAAGGTCTAGAAACAGTGGGTGGATCTGAGGAGTGGCTGGTGTGTACTCTTAAGGAATCCTGGCCAATCCCCAACAGGAAGGTTGCAAGGGGCCTGGGTGGAAGATGGGGAAGAAGACTGTAGGAGTGCAGTGCAGGAGCCTGGGGGAAAGGGGCTCACCTACAGACGAGAAGAAAGCTTGCATCCTCACCGGCCCCCTGAGGGAGAACCACTTGAGCAGCAAAGCAGGAGCAGCCCACCTAGAAGCCTGGTAGCAGCCACAGTGCCAATATCAGCACAGGAGAAGGACAAGTACGTAAACCTACACCCCTGTGCCAGATAAGGGAAGGAGAATTTTGTGGAAAACCAGATTAGCAAACCTGCTGGGACTGCCTTTTTTTTAAAGTGGCAGAATTTTGATCCCCTGTCCAGGGATTTCCATCAGGCAGCCAGATTAGGGAATATTTGGAGTCTGAAGAGGTACACTTGGAGATGCTGGCTAGCTCTCTAACAGAGACTGTGTTGCAGCAGACTTGTAAATAGTTCCAGGAAGTTGTCCCCAGTTCATCGGTTCCATTGGGCATCCCATATACCCCTTTCCCCATTCAAGTTGATGTCCCCTGAAAAATATCAAAAACTCTCAAGGACTGATTTCTGACTCCTGGTAGTGCTACACTTGTTTTAAAAATGTTTTTTCCATTTCTTCAGTTTTTTAAACCCTGGCCATGGTTGCGGGGTTTTGAGGGTGGGGGGCTTATCAGAATCTGGAAGCCCCCTTTAACAAGGGGGCCCCTAGATCCTGCCCCCCATATGAATGAGTATGTGGTAAAAAAAAGTGTAGTGTAAAAAACGACAGGAGACAGTCTTTGACAAGTACTTTATTAAAAATAAAAAGTTTTAAAATGTCCCCCGAATTAGATCCGACATCAATCACGATGTCCGCCGCCACTGCCAACCCGGAAAAAGAGAAAGAAAAAAACGCTCCGCCCTCGACGCTGGCTCCTGTGATCTGACAGCTGCGCCACGATAACAGTTCTTAAATAGGGTGATGATGTCACAAAGAGGCGGAATCACCCCCACTCCCTTGTGATGTCATCATGCCCTGTGATTGACCAAAGCATGCAATGCTTTGGCCAATCACAATGCACTGTCAGGGAGCAGTGCATTGTGGGGCACAGCGGGCAAACAGCCCGCCTTATGCCCGTATCGTTAGTGTGTTCACAGTTTCTGCAGTTCGTTTTGTGTTTTTGCACATGCGTTTTTGATGTTTTTTTCCTTGTTGCTAGGCAGATTTAAAAAGCAAAGCGCATCAAAAATGCGGCAAACATGCAGCAGAAACGCTGCCCTGGTCAGCTGCAATGCTTTGGCCAATCACAATGCACTGTCAGGGCACAGTGCATTGTGGGGCACAGCAGGCAAACCGTCCCTGGAATGCCTGTACCGTTCGTGTGTTCACAGTTTCTGCAGTGCGTTTTTGCACATGCGTTTTTGATGGGTTTTTTTCTTTGTTGCTAGGCAGATTTAAAAAGCAAAACGCATCAAAAATGTGGCGAAAATGCAGCAGAAATGCTGCCCCTGGTCAGGTGCAATGCTTTGGCCAATCACAATGCACTGTCAGGGCGCAGTGCATTGTGGGACACAAGCCCACCGAATGCCCGTGCCACTCATGTGTTCACCGTTTCTGCAGTGCGTTTTTGATGTGTGTTTTTTCCTTGTTGCTATGCAGATTTAAAAGCAAAATGCATCAATAATGCGGCAAAAATGCAGCAAAAACACACTACATGCTTTTCTTCAGTGTTTCCATTGAAGTCTATAAAACCAAAAAACGCTAGGCAGATTTAAAACACAAAATGCGGCAAAAACGCATCAAAAACGCACTACACGCTTTTCTGCAGCATTTCCATTGAAGTATATAGGGCCAAAAACGCTTCTTTTTGCATTTAAAAACCCTTTCCAAAAAACGCACCGGGTGAAAACGCGGAGATGTGAACCTGTCCCATAGGAAATCATGGACTGTAGTGCATTTCTGCCTAACGCAAAATGCTGCAGAAAAACACTTAGGTGTGCACCTGGGGTCAAGGAAGGTTTAGACTAAAACACGCCAGTAAAAAGCTATAATATCAGGGTGTGTACCAGGGGCGGACTGAGAATTCATGGGGCCCCCGGCAATAGGGGATCATGGGGCCCCTGTGTCCTTGCCCAAACTCAAAAAAAGCCTATGAAAAAGGTACCAGGGGCATCTCATGGGGCCCCCTACTGTCCCCGGGCCCTCAATAGGGGATCATGGGGCCCCTGTGTCCTTGCCCAAACTCAAAAAAGCCTATGAAAAAGGTACCAGGGGCATCTCATGGCGCCCCCCTACTGTCCCCGGGCCCTCAATAGGGGATCATGGGGCCCCTGTGTCCTTGCCCAAACTCAAAAAAGCCTATGAAAAAGGTACCAGGGGCATCTCATGGGGCCCCCTACTGTCCCCGGGCCCTCAATAGGGGATCATGGGGCCCCTGTGTCCTTGCCCAAACTCAAAAAAGCCTATGAAAAAGTTACCAGGGGCATCTCATGGGGCCCCCTACTGTCCCCGGGCCCTCGAGCAGTGCCCGAGTTTCCAAATGGTCAGTCCACCCCTGGTGTGTACATTATTTTAAACCAACTGCCTTATATTAGCAATTCTGATTATATTAGTGAATAAATCTGGGAATCTGACTGTTCTGCAAATTATAGTTCTCTACCTCCCTGAATGTATGTATCTCGATCATGCAATTCACGTACCCATTGGTTGATGAGAAATGTCGCCAACCTACGCAAGCAACGTTCCAAGGTCGTAGATAAATGCGGAGCAGCAGAAATTGTTCTCACAACAAAATAACAGACAGGGATAAATAGCTGTTTATATAAAATATTTATTTCCTCTATGTTTCTTATAGAGTTCTTTTTTAAAGCGTTGATATAAAACGGATTTCACGGCTTTTAAGGCCTTACAACTATTGAAGTTTTTGACATTTTTGAGCTTTCGCTCGCCTAAATGGATGTTGAAAGTTGTTATGCTTCACTGGAAACAAAAGAACATTGCCTAAAAAAAAATGGCAGACACAAAGGTAGTGAGTAAATACATTATATACAAAGTTAATAGGAAACTTGCAAGCGAGTTGACATCGTGCAGCTGCTAGGAATAAGCAAAATGTCAGTGCGGTAATTGCACAGATGTATAGTTCCATTATTCCAGCTCAGATTTCTGCTGCTTTGTAGTTAGCTGAAAGTCGAGGAATGTTAATAATCTCAGATAAATAAAGCGCTGTGCATCTAACGGCGTACTGGGGACTTCCCTACAGAAAACGACACCAGGCTTCCCATGGTGCAATTAATGAAACCTTTCATGTACACAAGGTATAATGCTTTCAGAAATCGGCAGGTTTGTTGACAAGAGAACAATAAGGAGCTGATTCAATCATTAAAAAAATAACTAATTAAAAGAGAACTCTGACAAGCCAGGTCTGCATTGGCTGAACCAAGCTTTGCTATGTATGACAATACTAACAATCAGAAGAGCCGGAGACCTGCCAGACTATTCCTACATGAACCATAGCTGTGGACATCTTGAAAAAACGAATGTTTTGTTTCAAATGTTGCTTTTTGGCAAAAGACTTACTTCCTGTGACCCAGTCTGTGCAGACAGTGTGGCAACTTGCTGACTCAACAAGATCCACAGGCAGTGTCCATTCACTGAAAAGACCCAGAGAGAAATCCAAATCCCCTCATGTTTTGCATTGTATTGGTATTGTTCTGTCACATGTTCTGTCCCCCTTTGTAATGTACAGCGCTGAGCGAACTATTGGCGCTTTATAAATACTGTATAATAATAAATTGCTCCAATGTAGGCTAGCTCCTAGCCTAGATCCTCCAAAGGCAGCAACAGATAGTACAAACAAACTAGCTCCAAGCAGCACTCACATCAAATGATAAAAAGTTTGGATAGCGCAAAAGGAGGGTAAAACCCCTGTCAGATTTTTTTTTGCCACCTGTGTGCCATTTCAGAAAAGTTTCCTTCACTTCCTGTCTCATAGCCAAACAGGAAGCAAGAGGAAATCCCTGCTATTAAAGGAATCTCTTGACCCCCCCCCCCCAGGTCACCAGAACTAGTGTCCCCATTGGAAAATGTCCCCTCTATTATTTTTCTGGGGACAACCCAAAATATAGGACTTTCTTTTGCTTTCACTTTCAATGATAATGGTAAACAGGACAAATAGAGAGGGGGAATCTCCCTAATGGGGGCACAGATTGTAAATTGGAGCTAGCCTAGATCCTCAACAGATAGTACAAACAAACTAGCTCCAAGCAGCACTCACATCAAATGATAAAAAGTTTGGATAGAGCAAAAGGAGGGTAAAAACTCCTGTCAGATTTTTTTTTGCCATCTGTGTGCCATTTCGGAAAAGTTTCCTTCACTTCCTGTCTCATAGCCAAACAGGAAGCAAGAGGAAATCCCTGCTATTAAAAGAATCTCTTGACCCCCCCCCCCCCCCCCCCCCCCCCCCCCCCCCCCCCAGGTCACCAGAACTAGTGTCCCCATTGGAAAATGTCCCCTCTATTATTTTTCTGGGGACAACCCAAAATATAGGACTTTCTTTTGCTTTCACTTTCAATGATAATGGTAAACAGGACAAATAGAGAGGGGGAATCTCCCTAATGGGGGCACAGACAGCAATAAAAACTGACAGGGGTTATAATCCCTCTCCACACCATCCACAACTTAAAATAAAAAAAAGTTTTGCCTTTAGTTACATTTCAGAGTGTTTCCAAAGGCTGAAATTTTTTTTTTGCCTTCATGCATTTTATGCATGAATAAAAAAAAAACCTTCTGTGTGCTGCTAGCCCCCCCCCCCCATACTCACCTGAGCCCCCTCTCGATCCAGCGATGTGCATGGGAACCTCGGCTGTCTCAGGTCTCTCTCTGCTCATGGACTGAGACACAGCAGCATTAGATTTCATTGCTGTCAATCACAAACAGTGAGCCAGTAAGGAGGGAGCAGGGAGGCAAGGCCGAGCCACAGCTCTGTGTCTTATGGATGCATAGAGTGGGGCTTGGGAGCGAGCACTCACCAGTGCCCCATAGCAAGTGACTTGCTATTGGGGACACTGATCAAGGGGTAGGAGCAAAGAGCACCAGCAGGGAACCTGAGAAGAAAAGGAATAGCCCCATTTTGTGCAAAACCATAGCACAGAGCAGTAAGTATGACATATTTGTTATTAAAAAAAAAAGAACCTTTAATTACACTTCAAAGTTGATACTTTTTTTATCATTTAGTATAAGTGTTGCTTGAAGTGTGTGTGTGTGATTTTCATTTCCGGGTAGGGGGTGGCTGGGAATGTCAATCACCGGGTCCTGGCCGGAGATTCCCCTCCGGTGACCGCCGTGACAGGGGAGAGACCTGTGTGTGTAAACAACACGAGCGGTCACGCTGACAGAGGAGAACAGAGGAGAGCCAGTAATCGGCATTCCCGCGGAGGGGACATGTACACAGATCATCAGAGCACTGATGATCAGTGTGCCTTTATGATCTGTGTAGCCCCAGCAGTGCCACCTGTCAGTGTCCATCAGTGCCAGCTGTCAGTGCTCATCCATGCCACCTACCAGTGCCCATCAGTGCCACATCAGTGCCACATTTCAGTGCCCATCAGTACCACATCAATGCCACATATCAGTGCCCATCTGAGCTGCCTTTCAGTGTCACCCATCAGTGCCAGTCAGTGCCACATATCAGTGCTGCCAATCAGTGTCACCTATCAGTGCCAGTCAGTGTCAGTCAGTGCCGCCTATCAGTGCCACTTAGTGCTGCCTATCAGTGCCAGCTAACAGGGCCAGTCAGTGCCACCTAACAGTGCCAGTCAGTGCCGCCAATCAGTACCAGTCAGTGCCGCCTATCAGTGCCATATATGAGTGATGCCTTTCAGTGCCCATCAGCGATGCATGTCAATGCCCATCAGTGCCACCTATCAATGCCTCCTCATCAGTGCCCATCAGTGCCACCTATTAGTGTCCATCAGTGCAGCCTCATTAGCGTACATCAGCGAAGGAGAAAAATCACTTATTTACAAAATTTTCTAACTAAAACTAAGAAAAAACTTTTTTTTTACAAAATTTTCAGCGGTTCTTGGTTTGTTTAAGAAAAAATAAAAACCCCAGAGGTGATTAAATACCACCAAAATAAAGCTCTATCTGTCACAAAAAAATGATAAAAATTGTTGCATGAACGCGCAGTTGTCATTCAAAGTGTGACAGCGCTGAAAGCTGGAAATTGGCCTGGGCAGGAAGGGGGTAGAAGTGCCCTGTAGGCGAGTGGTTAAAGGCCTAACACATACAGTAAATGCAGAATTACAATGGGTTGGAAAATCAGCTTGTCGGAGAGATGCGTTTTTTTTTTTTTTTTTTTTTTTTTTAAAAAGAGAAGTTTGGGAATGAAAATAAAAAAAACATTTATATTCACTTAGGTGGAAGTAGCATTGATCTGATTCTGCATCTGTAGCCCACCACTTTTAAGACTGAGAAATGAGCATCAAAGATCGCTGATCGCACAGTCGTCAGTGAGCAGAGAGGCAGTGACTGTCAGTCATCGACTCTCTGCTCTGCCCCTCCAGATCTCATTGGAGCTTCAGGCTTTGGAGGGGGTAGTAGTGGCTGCCTCAGGCTCTCAGCAGCAGGCTAAAAAGCTGAGCCAGCTGCCGGTCTAGGCTTCTGAGGACATCCAACATTAAAGTCAGGATCTTTCCAGAGTCTGAATTGGCTCTGTAACGTCAGCTTCAGCCCGCTGTCGGCTGAAAACGTGTCATAGGAATGCAGAATGGACTGTACACCTGTGATCCCCAGAAGAAGAAGAGCTTTGGCCTTACTACTTTAATTTTGGCATTGGTACATATTTTCTATGGCCATGCCCAGCCATTTAAACAAACAGAAAGAGAAAAGTGACATCTAAGTGTAGTAAAGAGTTAAAAAAGATTGATTGCACTAATATAGCAATGTCACATAAAAACAATAGAGTATTGGTCATCACAATCAAACACTGTCCAGGACTCAAGTCTTGTGGTTCTCACTGTGTAAGGATGGAATGACACCTGGAGTCCCTCTGGATGTCATCATCTGGAAAACCAAAGCCTTCCAGGTCCAGCATTATGTGAACTGGGAAAGCGGACCTGATGTCACTTGTGATGCGGCATGGACATGGCTACATGTTTTCAGAGCATGTGTGCTCCTTTCTCAGGTCTTGGGCCTTCTTCCATGCTTACACAGCAGGAACCACAAGACCTGACATCCCAGGAGTTGTGGATTGTGATGATCATTACTCTATTGTTTTTTATGTGATTCACACAGGGGCCTATTTACCACAAGGCAAACAAGGCATTTTCCTAGAGTGCCATTTTTTCAGGGGGGCAGCAGCATTTTTCAGGGGGGCAGCAGCATTTATCAGGGGGCAGTGCCTCCACCCCCCCCGAAAGCAGAGATGGTAGAAAGGACACACACACCGTGGGGACCAGGTGGGATCTGAGAGAAGCTGCAGGCTACTTGATGGTGTATGTAGAGCCTGACTCTTGTTCTCGGGGATGTCCGGAGCTGTGAAGGTGAGTGTCTTCTCCCTTGCCAGGGTACGGGGGTTGCCAGTGTGTATGGAGCGGTGGTAGTGGAAGGCTATCTTGGGTTGGGGGGTGGGGCTGCTGGTGGGGGCTGTGGTGGGGTGTTGTTAGTCAGTGTCAGGCTCTTACCATGGGGGAAGGGGGTGATTTTTGTCTTGCCCAGAGCAGCACGAAACCTAAATACACCACTGGATTCACACATATAAAAGAAAAGTGCTCCAACCTTCATAACATTCCAGGAGGAGTATAAATCTCACATGCCATTCCCGTGGTCTCCATCTGCTCAGGTAGATATGTCAGTCACGTAGGATCAGCAGCAAGGTGGGAATAAACTGTAGAAACTTTATTTTGAATGCAGAATATAAACTGTTCCAGGAGACAAGCAACACTAAGTCCTTACTCATAGTTCCTTATTCATGTTTTTTGTGTGGGTTGCAACATTAGTGCAATAAATCTTTTTTAACTCTTTAATACACTTAGATGGCACTTTTCTTTTTCTATTTGTTTATGTTCCCGTGTTGTAGTATCGGCTTCTTGGTCTCAAGTACAAGCTTCTTGGAGTGTGTATTGATTTACTATTCATACATGTTTATGGACTTTTCATGGACTCAGTCTTTTGACTACTTTATGGACTATTAGACACCCTTTGAGGGTCTTCTCTCATCAGCACCATATCAGTTTCTTTTCTTTCCATGCCTTCATTAGCCCTACAAAAGGACAGAATTAAATAGCACGTTTTACCTTCTATAGATTTCAATTGGGTTTACAGCAAAGCTCACAAACTTTGCACTTCGATCAGCATTCATAAAACTGTTAACTGAACCCAGGCAGATTCACTTACCCTAATTAAGAGTACATCCTGTGCCTGAGCCACCTATGAAACTTTTAACCACATGCCGCCCAGCCACTGTAGAAATACGGTGGCAGGGTGGCACGGCTGGGCAAAACCATGTTTTAAAACGTGTGTTTTGTAAACAGGTAGGGGGCGCACGCAAGGCGCGCCGCCGCCCTACCTGTCCCGCCGATCATAGCCGCGGATGTCAGTCGCCGGGTCACAGCCGATTGTTACCGGCTATGTCCCGGCGATCGGCGGCAATAGCTGACAGAGAGCACAGCTGAAGTAGCTGTGCTTTCTGTCAGTTCCCTGACAACTCCAGGACAAGCTGATCGGGACAGAAGAGTTTCTCTCTCCCGATCAGCCGTGTCCCCTGCAGTACACCCCCCCGCCCCCTAGTAAAACACTCCCCCTCACACAGATAACCCTTCCCTAAATAATAAACTTAACCCCTTCCTCCCCAGTGCCATTAGTACAGTGTCAGTGTTTTTTTTTTTGCACTGATCACTGTATTGGTGTCACTGGGGATGTCAGTGACCCCAAGTCAGTACCCCCAATGTCAGAATGTCCGCCGCAGTCCCGCCATAAGTCGCTGATCACCGCCATAAGTCGCTGATCGCCGCCATTATTAGTATAAAAAAAAAAAACTAAAAATCCCAGTATCTTTCCCGCCATTTGTAAACGCTATAACTTTCACGTAAACCAATTAATTTACACGTATTGGGTTTTTTTTTTTAGCAAAGACATGTCGCAGAATGCATTTTTGCAGAAATTTATGACTAAATTTGATTTTTAAATTTTTTTTTTTACTGGACATATTTTATAGCAAAAAGTCCAAAATATTGTTTTTTTTCCTCAAAATTGTCAGCCTTTTTTTTATAGCGCAAAAAATAAAAACCGCACAGGGGATCAAATACCACCAAAAGAAAGCTCAATTTGTGGGGAAAAAAACGATGCAAATTTCATTAATGTACCATATTGCATGACCGCGCAATTGTCCGTTAAACTAGCGCAGCGCTGTATAGCAAAAAAATGGCGTAAATTGCAGTATCTATACCATAGTTTCTAGACGCTATAACTTTCACACAAAGCAATCAATATACACTTATTGGGATTTTGTTTACCAAAAACATGGAGCAGAACACATTTTGGCCTAAATTTATAACCAACTTTGAGTTTTCTATATATTTTTTATAGCTGAAAGTAAAAAATATTGTTTTTCTGCAAAATTTTTGGCCTTTTTTTGTTTATAGCGTGAAAAATAAAAAAAAGCACAGGTGATCAAATACCACCGAAAGAAAGCTCTTTTTGTGTAAAAAAAAAAGGACGTAAATTTTGTTTAGGTGCAGCGTTGCATGACCGCGCAATTATAAGTTGAATTAATGCAGCGCCAAGTAGCAAAAAGAGGCCTGGTCATTAAGGGGGGTAAATCCTCTGGAGGTCAAGTGGTTAAGCATCGAAAATAAAAGCTAAAATTTAGGTGACTGTGCCGTGTGATTGCCAATGGCATAGTAAAAACACAAAACTTATTCTTTTTTTTTTTCATAGAAAGTCTTGTTTTCCTTGTAAAATTGGCTTGCTGTTATGTCTTCTGGCAAAAAAAGCGTTTAGTGCTGCTCTGTTATACATCTGATATACAATACCTTGAAGCTTAAGGCAGAGAAATCCCTCTGGGGGTCTGCATTTAAAGCTACACATGTCATGCATCTCTGCTTCAACCTTCCTGAGTGATTCTGATACTTTCAGAGTTCATGCTTCTTCAATGACCCTTACAAAAAAGTAATACAATCACAAAGTTAAATGCAGCCCCATACTGTGTGGAAGTACAGACTTCCTCCTGCCTTACATTATACTTTGCAGTAAACAGACCTTGGTATAAGGGATTGAGAACCGCAGTGATTTTATTATTTCGTAGTGTAATATGTCCATTGATTGTCGTTAATGAGACCTAAAGCAGAATTTCATCCAAAAATTAAACTCAGATGTTTTGCCATTATCCCCCCAGCCTGTTACATAGTAATAAATAATTTCTGTGGTGGGGCAAGCATATTTTTTTCCCATTTACTCCTTCCTTCTTTCCTTCCTTCCTGGGAGGGGGGGGGGGCATAGCTTTCAGCCACCAAAGCCTCCTTAGATACCACCTAAAACATCTCAGGAGGCTTCATGACCAGGGGCAGACTGACAACTCATGGGGCCCCCGGGTTTTAGGGGATCATGGGGCCCCTGTGTCCTTGCCAAAACTCAAAAAAGCCTATGAAAAAGGTACCAGGGGCATCTCATGGGGCCCCCTACTGACCCCGGGCCCTCAGGCAGTGCCCAAGTTTCCAAATGGTCAGTCCGCCCCTGTTCATGACCCAACCTATTGGCCCATTGTGTGTGTGTGAGGGGGGGCTGGCTGAATTTCCAGGAAGTGACGGCTAAACCGAATCCAAGATGGAGACAGGGAAGGAAGAGAAACAGAGTGATGAATCACAGAAGGAGGAAGACAACGCTGGACTTCATGGGCTGGTAACTATTTTTTCTTTTTTCAAGTAGTTGTAAATGCTGAAGGTTTTTTATACCTTCATGTATTCTATGCATGCAGGTAAAAAACCTA